AAATGAGCAATGCCCATTGTCTATTTGATGGAGAGAGTTAATAATTCTCCATAACCACAACAATAATCATAGGGAGAGTTCATAATTCTCCATAATCATAGCAGCATGGTGAGAGCTAGTTTGGAACAACACTGGATCATAAAAGAGCCTTTAGGCCCTAGCAGAGAAGTGACCAGCCATTAAAGATTTCTTTTTTGTCCCCCACTTCCTCCCTTAGATTTCACATCTTTGTATTCTGAGCCTGCTGCAGCTCTTAATGCTGTGCCAGTAGCTTTACTTTCAGCCAGTTCCTTCATAGTACACCACATACCATTTTTCTTGTTTCGCTTGTTAAGAGGCTGCTGGGCAATAGGAAGGCTGACTCACAAGAAGAACGAGGATTGGTAAATGCAAACTAAATATCAAATAGGATTTTCTACAGACATTGGCAAGTGCTAATTGCTGCTCCCGTAGCTGAAATCCTCTCAGTTATCTATAGTGTAATTTATTGGTCTGTTTATCAGCTAATATGGATAATCAGGTTCCAATCCACTGTGTGTGAAAGATTGGTGTGTGATATTCTATTTTATTTGCTGAAGCTCATTTTAAGAAAATGCTCTGCTTAGAAACATTGCTTTATTGAATAGTGTTCATTCTTTATAAAATGCCTTTCTTTATAAAACATCAATAATATAGTTTGTATTGTAAGGTTTTCCACTTAACCTCACAATTGCCCCAGCATTACTCAGGAATTTAAAAGAGCCAAAGAAACTCCTGAGTCGAGGTTTCAGCAAGCAAACAACTTTTATTTTGATCAAAACAGAGTTGGGTGACCCCATCTCTCTTCGTGGCTGGTAGAGAGATGAAGGCAACAACCAGAAAAGATGTCTTCCACCTTTTATACCTTTTCAGAACAAAGAGATCAGGTCTTGGTACTAGGCATAAGATGGCATAAAAAAATAATTCCTAGATGATGACTCATACACAGCAACCCAGGCTCCATCCGTAACTCCTTTCCCCCTCCCCTTACTGTGCCCTTTTCATATAAGCAATCACCTATACCTAAAGCATGAAGCCCTTTTCCAATATATATATAAAGCATCTGATCAAGCAATTAACTACAAAATAATGATTACAAAATAACAAAACAATGATTACATGATAACACTATAAGTATCAATATAAAATGGTTACTATATATAAAATAAATGCTAATGTCAAACTTAAACATACTAAAATCATAAGCAAAATAAAATCCCTTCAGTATAACAAAATACGTAAACTGCTTACAGTCCTTAGTCTGTTCTTTCTGATAGAAATCGTCACTTTTCCAGCTAACACCTGCTTCTTCTTTTCAGATAAGGCTCTGCTTCCCCCTTTTCTTGTTTGCTAATAAAATATAAGACCTTGCATGTGTTTGTCCGTGTATATTTCTACTGCATCCAATTTATAATTGTAATTTTAGTTCAGAAAAAAATAGCAGTCCTTTTCAACTTTGAAGTGATTTTCTGTAGGATGCGTTTTCTGAAGAACAGGGTTTACACATCTATAAAGCCACAATGCAGTTTGTCTTTGTTGTACTAGGTTAAATTGACTCTAATAACATCATTTGCAAACCATGGCCTCTTGTATTACACAATCCTAATAGTAATGATTTAACATGGATTGACTTAAATAGAGGAGTATTTAAGAGGACTATCAGCCATCTACAAATCAGTCTTTTTTAGCTTGAAACAAAGCTCTTACAAATATCAGCAGGAAAGAAGAACAGTTATGGGAAATCCTACTCCAGTGATGGCGAACTTTTTAGAGACCGAGTGCCCAAAAACTGGCCCAGCCCTCGCTCCACCCCCTGCCCTGCTCCCACCCTGCCTGCCTGCAGGCCACTCGCTGCCTCCAGGGCCTGCCACGGATCACTCAGGCAGGCAAACAGCACCATGGTGGCCACGCCCTCTGCTTGCGTCCTGCAGCATCAACTGTGCGCAATGGGGCATGAGGGCAGAGTCTTGTCTATGCTGCCTGGCTGCCATGTCCTTGGCTGTGCTGCTCCGCGTGGGCCACACTCGGGGGCAACTCTCCTCCAGAGGGGCTGCTGGTGAGGAGGGGGTCACGGAGGGAGACAAGGCTGGGGCAACAGCACATGTGCCCACAGAGAGGGCTCTGAGTGCCACCTCTGGGACGTGTGCCATAGGTTCACCACCATGTTATCTTGATATATATTTTAATAAACCTATTTTTCCTTCTAATGCAACAAATGTTAAGTAACATTTATTGACAGCTGGGCTAAGCCCATTCTTGAATTCCACAAAAAATGATTTCAACAATTTATTTTTAATGGGGCCTTTTGTAATTCTTTCAGTATTTTTTCAACACTACTTGTCATCAGAGCATATCTTCTAGCAAGGCTTAAATCATACTGTTAGCCAATTGCATACATCACAAATGGTAAATAATACATTCTTAGGGCATTGAATTACTCTCAGATGGAGAACGTTATATGGTAAGCTGTCAATACTTTGTTCTTTCTCAGTTGATGCTCATTATTTTTGGTCTGGTTCCAAGGCCATCTGGCTACATTGAGCCTGTCTTTCTCGTAACATTTTTCCTTGCAACTGAGCACTTTGGTTTCACTCTGCCTTTTGATAGGCATTCTAGCAGCACTATTTCATAGAAACTGGGTATATGTGCTGGTAAGTCTAGGTTGAAGATCTTGGGGTAGTGGGGATTGATTCTGGGTGAATTTTCTGCTAACTTTGCTCATCTGGTGCAAAGGGCACATTTAATATATACTGCTCAAAAAAATAAAGGGAACACAAACGTATAGGATCCTATACATTTGTGTTCCCTTTATTTTTTTGAGCAGTATATTTCCTCCTTCAAGAATTCTTTAGATGACTGCATGTTGGCACTGAATTAGTTCAATAAGTTAATTACATTCAGGGACTCACCATATGGATCAGAATGAGATACCTTAAAACAATTTTATTTCATTAACCACAACCACTCTTGGATGAATAATGCTTATTTTCTTTCTCTTCTCTTTCACAATAGATTGATGAATGTATAAATCTTACCTGCAGAATTTGTGACCATCTCTGCTTTTTAGCTAAATGCAGCGGACCAATGGAGCTGACTGCCAAAGACTTGATTCCTTCGTTTTTTTGTAGATTTCACATGAGCAGGAAACATGGGTCACCCTTGTGATTCCACCTAAAAGGACTGGTGGGTCTCATGTTTACAAATCTGCTTTAAAGTGAATTCACTGATGACGGCATCCAATCCAATATATTTTGCAAGGGAACAGCTCAGTAGATAGGAAAGTTCTCCACTACTTCCCTGTAGTCCAAAAAGTTTTCTCAAAAACTGCAGTATGTTGAGAGACCCTCCCAAAAAGATTTTCATCTAGAACTGGAAGACCGTATGAGGAAGAAGAGAGCAGATTTCTTACGGTGCATTGTTGGATTTTCCCCTTATGTCAATTGTTTTTATTATCAAGTTAATTTTTAATGTAATTCTTTTGTTGCAGGATATTAATGAAAGTGGTGTGGCCAAACCATCTAAAAGGAAAGAAATGTCTAGTCCAATTTATGTTGGTAGAGAAGATGATATTAAAAAGCTCAAGAGAACAACAGCCACTGTCTATGAGAGAGAAGTTGTTATTTTCTACCATAGTGGACACTTTTATGCTCTGGATTGCCGCTGTTACCGTAAGAACTTTAAAATGATGTGCATTGAGGCTTATAGAGCTACAGTGAGAACAAAGCAAGTCCCTTGTTGGGTTAATGCATATGTTCTTTAGTCCTGTATACATCTTGGACAGCTAGATGCAATTGGGAAGCTCAAGTAGGGAATGCATGGTGTATCACATACCTATTTATGTTCCCCAGCCATTTGTATTCAGAGCTATAATACCTCTGAAACTAGAAGTGAGATACAACCACCCTAACTAATAGCTCTGATCTAATATATTTTTATCTTTTAATAGATGCAGGAGGTCCCTTACATCTTGGTGAAATAGAGGTAGGTAAACACAATACCACTTAATATGGTAGCTAAGGTGATAATCAATATTTTCATATAAATCAGGGGTTTCCAACCAGGGGTGCTCGCACCCCCTGGGGTGTGAGACAATATTCCAGGGGGTACGAAAACCTGGGTTTAGAAGTTTCAAAATTATAGTGTATATGCATAATTCGTTATTTCTTACTTTTGTAAGGGGTGCGAGAATATATCAGAAGAGTTCTAGGGGTGCGGGGTATAGAAAAGGTTGGGAGCCACTGATATAAATGAAAGTATCAAAGTGCGGGAACATTGCAAATACAATTAACTAAATGATCAGAGACAATTTGTAGATAGACAATATATATATTTCTAATGTTTATAAGATAATGAAAAATATTTTTGTTCTCCCCTTGTGTCTATAGGACATCAATGGACAACCGTGTATTATTTGTCCTTGGCATAAGTATAAAATAACTCTGAATACAGGTGAAGGATTGTATCAAGCAATAAATCCCAAAGAGCCATCTGCCGTACCCAAGTGGAAATCAAAAGGACCAAAACAAAGGACTCACAGAGTCACTGTGGACAATGGAAATGTTTATGTGACTCTTTCAGATTTAATGGAGTATAAAGAGTCTGACTACTATGCTGAAAAATACAAAACAGGAAAAAATGCAGAAAAATAATCTTTTTAAAATAACATTTTGCTTCATAGGAACTTGAGTTAAAAAACTGTTGAATATATGTGGTCCTCGACTTACAACTACAACTGAGCTCAAAATTTCTGTTGCTAAGTGAAACATTTGTTAAATGAGTTTTGCCCCATTTTAGGAACTTTCTTGCCACAGTTGTTAAGTGAATCACTGCACTTATGAGGTTAATAACACAGTTGTTAAGTGAATCTGGCTTCCCCGTTGATTTTGCTTGTCAGAAGGTCGCAAAAAATGATCTCATGACCCCAGGACACTATAACCATCATAAATATGAGTCAGTTGCCAAGCATCTGAATTTTGATCATATGACCATAGGATACTGTAGCAGTCATAAGTATGAAAGACAATCATAAATTACTTTTTTCAGTGCTGTTGTAACTTTGAACAGTCACTAAATGAACTGTGGTAAGTCGAGGACTACCTGTATAAATTCTGGTCTTGTTATCTAAAAGGCATTTTGTTCCTTGGTGATACATTCACTTAGTAACAATCCCTCAGTGATAGAGGTTTTGTCCAGTATCTGCAGGATCTTGGGAGAATTATTTCCAGAATATTTTCAAAACAAAATAATTCAGCTGGGACTTAACTTTTCAGCCTCCCATGTCCAGATCAAGAACCTCATTTCACAATTAAAACCCAGAACAGGCTTGGAAGAAATTGCTATCTCCCCCCAGATTTATTAAGGGAGAACAAGGACTGGTGAGTTAGGGTCAATGCTCCTATTCACTCCTATTAACAGCTCAGTGTGTTTTCCTCCTAAGTGGAGCTGTCATTGTTATCCAATCCTATGACATAAGAAACTAGATTAGGCTGCCATTTTTGACCATCAGTCAGCAAACTAAATAATAAATGTACTTACAACTATTGAACCAGGCTGCAAGTGAAAACGTCTTAGTTGAGGAGAAGACACATTTTAATGTAGACTAATCAATTCTTAACCACCATCTGGTCATCCACTGTTTTACTGAGAAATATTCTTTCCAGCCCAAAGCCTTTGGGTTAATTCCCAGGGAGAGGATATGAGAAAAACTAAGGGAATCTTAATAGATGAAGCGTAGCTTCTTTTCATTTAATTCCTCCACTCCAACACTACTTTGAGAGTTAGATGCTTCTCCTGGGGACGGAATGACCATGGCAGATCTGAAGGAGATGGTGTGAGACAGAGGGGCACAGAGAGTGCTGATCCATAGAGTGGCGGAGGGTCAGATACAACTGAATGGCTGACAATGAACTGGGGACTATCCCTGATCAGAGAAGGTGAGACAGAGGTGTATTTTAGCTTCTTTACTTTTTGACTTACATATTAATAAACTAGGGCCTCCCCCCATTCATCACTTCCCTTTATTATTTGGTCCAGCTTTTTTATGTGCAGAGGAGGTCATGATCAGGTCATCTCTCAGTAATGAGAAGAGAACTGAGGACTTTGGTCACTTTCTGCTCAGAGGAAAAACTAGTAAAATCAGATCAGAAAATTTAAATCACAGTATTTGTGTGACATTATCATAATATTCATAATAAGAAAATTAAGGAGAATGCTATCAAGTAGGTATACCCTTACAAGTACCTTTTTTTTTTCAAACTTTAGTATCCTGAGGAGAACTTTTGGATAATTGGTAAGTATTGTTCAGTGAAGCTTCTAATTATTCTGAGGTGTTTTTTTCATTTGGAGAAAGCTCATTATATCCCTGAAAGGGTTTTATATTCAAGGTTGCCTCCCAACTTGTATACAATAGCCAAGTCTGTGACATCCTTGAAACCATTCAATTTAAGCATATTAGAGCTACTCTTCTAGTCCCAGGATGTATTACAAATGCTGCTTTATGTTTAGATATAGGCTTAGTCTCTGTGGATGCTAGAGCCTGGTCCTATCATTTTTAAAAATTGCTAATGTAAGCATGTTTCCCAATGAATTTGATGTCTGCCATTGATTCTTCAACCTGGTTAAAAAGGTTGAAAATGTTACTCTCTAACTCTCTTGTTGAAGTGCCTTTGAAAACAGAAGCATTCTAGGTAATGTACCTGAGATCTTCAAATGATTCTGTGGTTCCCTGTCTTGCAAGACATGGATATGATTTTCAAATGGATATGATCCACCCTCCTGCCTCTCTTCTATCACAGTCTGAAGTTTTGCTGACTCTTCACTCTGGACAGACTGGATGCACTGCCTTCTGCTTCTCTTCAGGGTTACAGAAATACTCCTCACATACTTAAGAGGGCATCAGGGTGACAATGTTGGCTCACCTAGAGCTTAAAAATTACAATGTCTGTTTTCCCCAAAACAGATTATCCTTGCAATGGAATCCTTGTGTAACCCAGGGATTGCCTTGTATGAAAAATGCATTTAAAAGCATTATCAGTGTAAATAAATGGGGATACTATTTTTTCCATGCTATGTATTAGGGATCTTTAATTAAAGAAATAATTTTTGCTGTGAAACTCTCATCCTTTATCTTGTACTTGATTTATTTCATCCCACAATGGTAAGCTTGATACATATTGACTCTTGCTGTAATGGCTTGTAATACACCAATTATTTTGCAGTATAGTGCCTCTTAGTAAAGCAGGTAGACCACAAAAGTCTGCTTAATGTGAGTCAAGCAGGTTATTTGCATTAATCAGGAATTCTTTACAGGCCCTTCTAGGAAAGCAAACTTCCAGAGATTAGGACACACACACACACACACACACAGTAGACCTATAGGCTATAGTAATACCTTGTATCTCTAATATGGTAAACCTATCAGATCAGTAGCTGAATTCCTGCACAAACACATTTCCCTGTCATTTGAAGCAGATGATTTTGGAGACTTTTCTTTTTTTGAATCTCAGCTGGCTGGCTGGAAGATATGGGAAGAAATATTTCAGTATCCAGGAAAGAATATATTCTAACACAGACTTGTCCTTACGCTTGTTCAAATAGACTCTCTTTAATCCTACCTTTTTTTTCCCAAGACACCTGTGTACATGTTTTGTTGCTGTGTGTTTTTAATTGTAAATACCATTTTAAACAGACAGTTTAGTGCTAATTTATATTTTGGTGGGTTGTAATTTGCTACTATGCCTCAGAAGGTCTTTTAATGACTACCAAAATTAACTAGTTATTTCATACTTACACCAAAGTAAACAGATGCTTTACTTTGAGCTTTGTATACACAATTAAGATGTAACAAACTATTTACAGTACAAATTTGCCATTAGGAATGCTAAACAGTTCACGGGAAGCACAGTGGAGCCTTTTTGTAAGGATTTTCTGATTAGTGTATGTACCATTCCCTATTTTCTCTTTAACCAACCACTCATTTACATGTGTTAAAATCCAGGCCAGGATAGGTAGAGGAGTCAACTGTGGCATCAGCACTGTAAACATCTGGTGGATTTGGGAACAGACTCTGTAGGAAATGGAGTTCATGGGCCTGGTTAAAGGAGCTGTCACACGGTATCTGTAACGCTTAATCAGGACTGGGATTTTTGCAAACAAGACTTTTCTTTTTCCTCTTGCTGCAAACAGAGCCCTTTTCTTCTAATGGTCGGAATTTGTCCATTAGAAAGGTTGTGAGTAACAAAGACCTCTTTACACAGTAGCTTTGGAACCACTTGGCACACACTGCTGTGTAGGAGGGGCTTTTTCAGAGCAACATGCCTTCCACACAGTATGTTGTTGTCTGGCAAGTAAGGTTTCTGAAGGGAGAGAATCCAAACAACCAATTGCCTGCTCTTTGGAATTGTAAGTTATGGAATTCTTTTTTAAAGTATAGTTGTTTTTAAATGATCCTGTGAGAAAAATGTATATGCATAGAAGATGAGTTAAGAGGCAAAGAAAATGAAACCTATGAAATTACAAGCTTTCCGGACAAAAGTCAACTAAAAGAAACATCAGCATTTCCCAAATGGTTTTCTAATGATCAACTTGTTATAATTGCTCATTCTTCAGTTTTTAACTTTAACTTGGTTTTTGTTTTCTGATCAATCCATGGATGTTATCAAATATTTTAAAATAAATTTTCCTTGCCCAGGTAATGTGATTATTTTTTCAACATTTAATGTACCTTTTTATTTAATAATATTTTTTCCTGTTTTGAGATGAAAACTTTCTGAAACTTTTACGTGAGACGTGACAAGTCATTTATTCATAATTCAGTTTTTTTTCCTCCATCAAGCAGCTTCTAAAGCAGTCATGCCAGGACTTACAAAAGTTGCATTCTCTTTATTATCAGCCTGGAAAAAAATACTTCATTTGGACTTCTGCCTTTGCAAAATGTATCTTCTGTATGCTTTGCACAGCCTCAAAGCATATAAAAACTTGGTAATTCTCAAATGGAAATTGAGAACCATGTTTATATATTTGTGTATTTAATAAAACAATGTGGATATAGGCTGAAAAGTCCAAGCTGGGCCTATACTATATAAAAAGAACCATTATTGTTCACTTTCTTGATCCATTGCTGCAAGTAGAGTATGGATGCTTCCACTATTTTGTGATGCTTTAACAGGAAACATTGAAGACTCTTGTTGAAGGGGGGGAGTTGCTTCAATAGCTCTGGAAAATCCATTTTCATCCACATCTTCACTGCTGCTTTCCCTAGAAGTGTCTTCTGTTTGACTGATGCCTTTTATTTTTGCCAGCAATTTGTTAATGGAGACTGCCTGTTTACATAAAAAGAGATACTTTTGTTTAATTAACTTTAGAGAGTTTGGCATAGTACATTTTTTCTAATTTAAGAAGAGTGTATTGCCCTGTAGTTTTAGTACTGGCTGGACTGCCTTAATTTTATTTATTAAATTTATATACTGTTCATCTCCCCCATAAGGTGACTCTGGGCCTTAATTACAGCAAAATAATAAATCATTGGAACAGTAAAGCTATGACAGAAATGAATAGGGAAGATTGACACCAGGTGGTATAAACTAAAAACTGAACTGAAACTGTTCCCCCTTGAATAACTGGGGATGGGGAGTCAAAACCTCAAGATGTATGTTGCACATCATGAAAAAGGGATAGTCTTTGATTGTGTAGTTGTGGCTGCCATCTTGACTTTTCTGACCTATACTAGATTACCATCATCTGTGATGACTGTTTGGCTGTCACTTCCTTCTTTTTTGATTCACAACTGAAAAAAATGCATTTAAAAAAATGCAGTGGCCTGATCAAATTTGGAGGCATTATTGAGAGGGATAATGGTGGCTTTATCTTCCCCATTCTCTTTTTCCTTCTTCAAGCCTACATGGAGGAGGAATGAAAAAGTTGGAGAAATGGAACAGCTCTATTTTTGTGGTTGTTACAGCCTCCCACTTCTTTGTAGAACCAACAAGTAAATTTATATACTAGGGGATCAGTAAAATCCAGAGCTAGCTGAGATTCTGGATCAGATGAGACAACTTAGTTTAGGCTGTTGTGCTCTTATATGAAGATATTCATTGTATTTTGTTCTGATGTTACCTACCTTCAGTATAATTGTTGATAGAAAGCTGATATATAAAGCAAATTAATGTTTTGTGCATTTTAATGACTTTAATATAAAGTATAATGATCTGCAAATAGTTCCATTCTTGGTCAGTTCTAGTGTTAAATCAATGAATTCTTTTCACCTAAGTTTTAACTGTTGATTATAATTGATTTTATTTTAATTTTAATTAAAATTTTGCTGCCACATTTTATATTTTATAAGCTGCCTTTATAACCCACATGGAGCAGAGAATAAATTTAAAAATATGAAAAATTAAAAAAATGAAATTTATATTTATGACTTCAACCAGAACCTTGAAAGAAGATTAGACTGTATCTTAACATTTCTTAAGACATAATTGCTATAACTATTTTATTCATTCTTACTCATTGTTATGGTAAGACATAAACACTATAAGTATATTGGCTGGCTTCTTGTAGAAGAGCAGATAGGGCTGGGGACAGAGTTAAATCCAATCCCTCTTGAATCCATTGATCCTTATCTGATGCCAATTTAGTTTTGAAGTCTAGTTGACTAGATTCTCATGTATAGGTTTGAGAAATAAATCTTCTGAACTGCAACTTAACGTATGGCCCTGATTCTTTGCACTGACAGTTCCTTCATCAAGCTAAGTCATTTGTAACCATGGTTTGTAACAATCATGGCATATGGGATAGTCTATAGTTGGTTGTATTTGCCAAAACACATTAGTTATAAAGCAATAATAAAGTAAGGCTTATTATTCACAATTTACTAAACACATCTAAGTTAGAACCAAACCATTTTGTGGCTTAATGTGATGAACTCATTTTTTTCTCATTAGTAAAGAGATATGAGGTCTATTGCTAAGATTCTATAATTATTGATTATGAGTTTACTTGCTGAGAATAAGATGGTATTTTGTATGAAAAAAGCTAGAGTAACACTTATTTATTAACCCACCAGAAAAATTAGTGCTGCATAAGAAGCACACATTATGCTGGTAAGGGCAGCCTTTGCTGGGTAGGAAATGATATCATAAAAGAAGACTTTCTTGTCCTGAAGAGAGAAAACAGAAAGAGAAAAAAAAATCATTCATCCATTTTATAATATGGTGGGTGTGATCCTTTCAATTTTAAATCCCACAGTTTTCAGTAGAAGAATTAAACAATTGTTCCTTAATACTGTAGTGTCACAAATTGTTAGACAACATATGAAGCTGTCTTTTATATCAAGGGGATTGGATACTGAATAATAATAATAATAATAATAATAATAATAATAATAATAATAATAAACAATATACTACAAGGAGGAGAAATTGAAAAGTGGCTAACAACTGGGAAAACCTACCTAATAATGAAAAATCCAGCAAAAGGGGCAACACCAGGTAACTACAGGCCAATTACCTGCTTACCAACAACATTCAAATTACTAACTGGTGGTGTAGCTGATGCAGTACAACAGCATCTAGTTGAAAACAATCTCTTTCCACCTGAGCAGAAAGGAAACCGCCCCAATAGCAGAGGAACAAAAGATCAACTCCTAATAGACAAAATGATCTTGGAAAACTGCAAGAGAAGGAAGACCAACCTGAATGTGGCATGGATTGACTACAAAAAGGCATTTGACTCTCTGCCACATGACTGGATAATCAAGTGCCTAGAAATAACAGGAGTAAGTAGAAACATCAGAAAATTTGTGCAAAAATCGATGGCACAATGGAAGACACAGTTGCAGATCAATGGTGAAAAGCTGGGAGAGGTTAATATCAAGAGAGGAATATTTCAAGGAGATTCATTATCACCATTACTATTTGTTATTGCACTGTTTCCTCTGTCAACAATACTAAATAACTCAGGACATGGTTATCAAACAGCAAAAACATCTGCTAGACTATCCCACCTCCTTTATATGGATGATCTGAAGCTGTATGGAAAAACATCATCTGAAATAGAATCGCTGCTCAACACTGTCCGTATATATAGCCAAGATATTGTAGTGGAGTTTGGCTTGGAC